ATATGACTTATGTTTTCAGAGAATTATTCTGGCTGCTGCATGGAAACTAGATGGTCAGAAGGCAAGGGTGGAAGCAGCAAGCCAGTTAACAGACAATATTAGTAATCCAGGTGAGATGACAGTGGCTTGGAATAGAATGATAGTGGCAGAAATGATGAGAAGGAAGTTAAAGTATGGATGTATTTTGAAGATAGATCTGACAGACTTTGTCAAGGGATCAGATGGGAGCTAGGAAAGAAAGCAGGTGAAGATGGCACCAAGATTTTTGGACTGAGTATCTGGAAGATTTGAGTTAAGAGGAGAAGGAATGCAGAAGTATGGAAATGGGGAGCGATCAGGAATTTAGTCTGAGTTGCTATCTATGAAGAGGGGAAGAAAGCTGGTGGAGGTGGAGGTTCGGAAGGAGGCAAGACGTAGAAATTGAGATACCTATCGGATATCCATGTGAACTGTAGAGTAGGCATAAATGTATAGTTTGGAGTTCAAGGGAGAGGCCCAGGTAAGAGATAGAAATTTGGGAGTCAAAAAAAATTTGGGAGTCATCTGCATATAGACGGTATTTATGAAATTATATGAGACCACCTGGAGAGTAAATATACATGAGAGAACAGATTTAAGTGCTGAGCCCCAGAGTGCTCAACTTTTAGAGGTTATGGAGATGAGGATGAACCAGCAAAGAAGACTGACAAGGAAAAGCCAGGGATGTTGGCGAGAAAAGCAAGAGAATGTGATGGAAATTAGGTGAAGAATGTGTTCTAAATATTTGTCCATCTGTATCTATCTTGACTGGTAGATCAAGTAAATGAGACCCAAGAATTGATTTGGCTGTGTGGAAATCATTGGTAACGTTAACAAGAACTGTTTGAGTAGAGTGGTGGGGTGACAACCTGATTAAAATTATTCAAGAGGGTTGGATTTTTCCTGATGCATTATAGCATATGTTTATTGTTGAGAATGAGCCAGTAAAGAGGGAAAAATTGATGCAGGAGAGAGAGGACAATTTCTGGCCCAATATTTTGAATAGGAGAGAAGGGATGGGATCCAGGGCATAGTAAATAAGCCACACAGGATAATTTGTCAGGATAATTTCCTGAACGATCTTTCATGCCTCTGCCTCACCCTGTCTTCCCTCGGGCTGGAAGGCCCTCACTTTCTTCTATCAGTACAACTGCCACCACCTGCCAAAACCGTATTCATGCTTCAAAGCGTAACACATTACATATCTTTCATGAAGCCATCCTCAAATTCCTTGGACATAATTGATTTATTTCCCTTGTGTGTCACGGTGCATTTTTTTTTCTTAACGTCATTTACCATGGACTGCCTAGTATCTTAATTAGTGTTTCTCCCTGACTAGATAATTTGTTCCTTGAAGGTTAATGATTCCTGATTTCTGACCTTACTCAATTAATATAATGAGACAAAGTAATTAATGGATATTCCTTGTTTATAGAAAGTACTCAATAAATATTTGTTGAATGAATGTACTGTATGGTTATAAGGAGTTATTCTTTCCCTTGATGAGGTTGGCTCAAGTTTGGAGAGGTTGGTTCCAGGTCCCACCGCTGAGTGTGTTTACTTTGCATCCCCCAAAGACCTGCATGATGCTTTGCACTAGTACATACTCTCTATTTGTCTGGATTATTATTATAATCTGTATTCTCCTTATCTCCTAACCTAAGCAATACCATATGTGACTATGGCTCTCTGGAGTGTTTTGTAGGCAGTAAAATTGAGTAAATATTTGTCAGTTGATTAATAAACCTTTTTCTTCTGGTCCAACCTTTTCCTTTCCAAGCTATGGAAAACTGGTGCCTTGTAGGTAAGATCTAGCCAGGAATCACCTTCTACCCCACTTCCCAAAAGTTTATCCTTGAGAATCAGTTTGAGAATCAAATCACTTCTTGAAAATCAGTCATTTCTCAAGAATAAACGATTGATTGGTTGATTTCTAGCCAGATTGGTGCCTTTTGGATGGGAGGTGCTAATTAAGTGATGCTTTTATTTTTATTTTTGAGGAGGGGTGGCTGGCCAGTACTGGGATCCAAACCCATGACCTTGGCATTACAAGGCTGCACTCTAACTGGCCGAGCTAACCAGCCAGCCCTAGGCAATGCCTTTAATATAGACAGGGCTAAAATGAACATCTACTTTGGGACCCAGCCAGGGTCAAATCCAGGTTCTACCACTTGGGTAAGTCACTTCATCTCAGTCAACCTAGAGAGTAGTCTTAGAGACATTGAAGCAATGGCTTCTTTTCAATGTCCTTCCTGGTCTGTCTGCTATGGGCTCACACCCCTGGGCTATTTTTTTACCCTTTATCTTCTGTTGCCTTTCCCACTTGAATGCAGTTGAGGGACCAGAAGCTCGTTTCACCTTCTGGCTGTCTTTCTTCCCCCACCCCAATTCCCAGCTTTCCAAAGTGATCATTCTTTTGTTCTATTGCTGGGGGACTGGATTGTCTTTTTTCAGGCTGCAAAAGACTTTTTGCATCAGGATTGAGGTTTAGAAGGTGGCCATCTCCCCAAGTCATCCTTGCTAGCTAAAGTCCATGTTCCAGCATGTCAGCGTCTTCTAGAAGATTTGTTTTTTCTATTCCCTCCTCCCGAGCTCACGTCTTTGAGAGGCACATGGAAATAGTGCCGGACTCTGTGTTAGAAAGTATAGCATTCTTGTTGCTTGGTCAACTCACTTTACTTCTCTGAGTTGCAGTTTTTCTTCTGTGAAATGGGAATAACTCATGAATATTTATCCTACCAGATTGTTATTATAAGATAAGAGATGCAAAAAGCTTGGTAAACTGGAAAGTGCTATTTAGATGTAAAGCAGTATTAGAACTCTCCTCATTTATTTATTCAGGCTGGGCCAGGATTAGAGGGAATTGGTGCCAGACTCTACATTTGCTTATTTACTTTCCCAGGTTCAGGGGGGGGAAGAACCTGTTGAGGCTTCTAAGCCCATAATATCCTATGGTGGACTTCTTGCCATCCAGGATGGGGCAGCAATAAGCCAAACCATTGATATGCCAACTCTCAGCACCTCCCAACCATGGTTGCTATAGCTTGGTAATGTGAGTCTGCGAAGCTTTGTTCCCTACTCTCTTACTCCGTTGGAGATGCCAAGAAAGAATTTTAGTTTAATCTCCTCTCAAAACTTTGACTCATCTGATATATAGATTCTTGGCCAGACTGTCAGAACATCCTGGGAGTTCTATGAAATGAGAGAAAAATATTTCTAGCTACCACTGAGTGCCTATAATTTAGCAGGCATTATAGTTAGTACTTATCTTGTTTAATCCTCATAGCGTCCTTTGAGGTATGTACTTATTTCCAATACTGAAAAGAAAACTGAGGTTCAAAAAAGTCAAGTCTCTTGTTCCAAGTCACATAGTGAGTTAAGTGGCAGAGCTGGAACTTGAACTTAGTTTTGTCTTATTCCAAAATTGTTGATTGACCACCATACCATGAGGCTTCCTGTTGCTGTACAGGAAGAGGGGCAATGTACTACACAGGAAAACTCAGATTTCCATTCATGTGATCTACGTGGAGATCCCAACCCTGCCTGTGTGATCTGGGGTAAGTAGCTTTCAGCTTCTTCAAGCCACAGATACTGTCCTCATTAAATCTTCACCATAGCCATATGATATAGGTGCTATTCTTATCTCCATTTTACATTTGAGGAGACTAGACCTCAGTGAGGTAAGATGACCTGCCCATAGTTACAGAATAGTAAATGGCAGAGCCAGAATGCAGGTCTAGGACTATCTAGCACCCGATTCAGTATTCTTTCCACCATTTCTCATAGCCAGCTTCTACTACCTGGTGTACCACTCAGGCAAATATACAGCTCTTGGGCTGGATGTAAGCCCATAGAAGGAGCAGGAGCCTCACCCTTTCCTGCTGTCTCCCTTTCTCCTCCCAAAGTCTCTCCTTCTTCTTAGAAACCTTACTGAGATAATACAGATATTTGGAATTCAAAGAAAAGGTTAATGTAAAACTGTAAAACCTCCTGGACTGCCCCATAGAAGCCTGGAAATCTGCCTACTGTCTTTGGGAACATGGAGTGGTGGGTATAGTTTGGGGAAAGTTCTGAACTTCGTTCTTTATCAGCATAATCTTGTGAGGTTGCTGTGAAAGTTAGAGATGATAAATGTTCAAGAGTAGCAGGTAGAGGTGCATTATTTGATGGTAGTTATTTTCCCTGGCAGCAGGGTCTCCTAGAAATCAGACTGGGAGTAATCTTTTGTCCTGTGACCTTGGATATATGAGTCACTGTCTCCAGATAGACTAGGTACTCTCTAGGGACCCCTTTCAGCTGTGATATTCTTCACTTTTAAAAATGAAAGTAGGCTAGCCAATTGGCTGTTGGTTAGAGCATGGTATTGATAACATTGAGGTCAAGGGTTTGGATCCCTTTACCGGCCAGCTGCCAAAAAATAAAAATGAAGGTAATAGGGCTGGTCAGTTAGCTCAGTTGGTTAGAGTACAGTGTTATAACATTAAGGTCAAGTGTTCAGATCTGCATACTGGCCAGCTACCCCCCTCACCCGAAGAACGAAGGTAAGATTTTTTTTTTTTAAGTCAAACTGGACAGAATTATATGAAGGAAAAAATGAAAGACCCCTATCCTTCTCCCTATCCAGTTCATTCCCAAGGGAACACTTGTTACCAGCTTGGTCTGTCCTTTCCACTGTTTTGTGTGTATGTTAAATATATACAGGTGTGTATATGCACATTATATGGTGTACATATATGTATGTGTGTGTGTGTATATATATATATATAAATACACATACATGTTATACACACTGAAATCTACATACTGCTTTATGTCTTGGTTCTTTTACTTATTTTGGCTATTTTTTCTTGTCAGTACTTAAAGATTTACTTTATTGTTTTAATGTCTTATAATTTATTAAGTGGTCCCCTGTTGATTATGGGCCATGATTTTTTAAAGCAAATATATACATACAATGTTGAGTTTTTAAATTTTCTTTTCAGGAAAAGAAGAAAAAGAAACACAGAGATAGGAAGTCATCTGACTCTGAGAGCTCAGACTCTGAGAGTGATACAGGCAAGAAGGCGAGGCACACATCAAAAGACAGCAAGGCAGCAAAGAAGAAGAAGAAGAAGAAGAAGCACAAGAAGAAGCACAAGGAGTGAGAGTAGGAAGAGGAGAGGGGGTGGTTGAGAGTAAGGAAACAGGAGCCTTGTGCCCTGAAGCCCTGGCTCTGGAAAGACTCAGTAGTGAGAACATGGCCTCCCACCCCACTGACTTCGCTCCCATGGGAGATGGCTTCCCCTCATGCAGCAGGCAGGTTTGGGAATTAGAGGTCAAAAGCAGCTGCCTGATTGAGTTTTCCTTATTACTCCTGGTCCCTTTGCAAGTGAACCCTGCAGCTCACCCATTCATTCACTCAACTTCCTTCATTCAGCAGGAGTTCCTATTACCCTCTCCAGCTGCCACTGCCAGAGCCAGATTCCTGTACAGGAGTCCAGGCTAGAGCCACAGGTACTGCTGTGGAGCTGAGTCTGGCTATTGTTGGAGAACAGAGTGATTGGCGCCTAACTGTTGGTCTGTCCTGGGTCAATTGGGTGATCTCTGCTGCATCCAACCCCAGGTGCAAAGGAAGACTGGCAGTTAAGAGGGAGGACAACATGGTAAGAAGTGGTACTCACTTTTTCCATTCCCCCTCACATAGTTCTGTGCTAGAACTGACAGCCAGTGGCCACAGCCAGAAAGGATTTGCAGTGTGACTTAGCTTGGGTATGACATTCCTGCAGACCACTGAACCAGATAGGTGAAGCCAAGATCATTGTTCTGTTTTGTATTTACTACTGTGTGAGTCATTTGGTTCCACTTCAGGTCTCTGCTTAAATTCCTGGCACTAAATGGAAGTGTGTTTGGTTTTAAACTTACTGAAAGTTCTTTTTTTCTAATATGGAGGCATACGTTTTATTTTAACACTGGGGAGGGGCAACGCATAGGGGAATTGCAAGAGTAATTTCCCCTGAAGGTTCTTATTCCTATAATTCTTTTCCTGGGTAACTTACAGACTTAGTCACTGAGCCTGCATTAGTTGACAGAAAACCATTTAATATGTTACTTTAGACCTTGGAGAGAAGCCCAGCTGAGGTACAGAGCCAGAGGTACTAGCAGGTCCCAGCCTTCTTGGGAGATTAATAATAAGCCCTCCCTTCTGTAATGATAGGTGAATTACCTCTTCCCCCAGAGTCCATTAGAGAACCAGTAAGAATTTGTAACCATGAGTACTGGCTTGATGCATAGCTGTGAGCTCAGCAGTCATCTTGGCCAGTGGTCATTTTCTTCCACTACCATGGCACAAGCCTGGATCCTGTGTTCTGAGCCTGCATTCTGGAAAGGGAGAGTCCACAGCATTTCACAGAGAAGAGGCAGACCCAAGAGTATACAGTGCAGGATAGGCCTGAGATGACAGTTCAGTAGCCAAGTCTGGGGAAGCCCCAGCACTGACTGGAATGGCTCATTTGACCATGAGGGCAGTGTAAAGGCAAGGTGTAGATACAGCTGTTTTATTATTGAATGTGTATGTGATCGGCCAGTGCTTCTTCCATAGTGACCTTCAGGCAGTCATCTCAGCCCACTATCTAACACACATACGAAACCTGTTATATCACCAAAGTCAAAGAGGCAACTGGGTGTCCTTGGCTCTGCTTTATTAACCTCAGCACCCTTTGGATGCACTTAAAAAAACAAACCAGATATTCAATGGGAACTGGATCTGGACCCAGGCTGATGGCACCTGACCCCAGAAGAATTCCTCAGCCAAGATGAATTTATACAAAATGCCAGAGGAAAAAGATGAGGCAATGTGGTGCTGAGTCGAGGGGTAGCCGATTGGCGGAGGAGCAGTCAATGATGGCACAGGCAGGTCATGCCTCTTTCTCATAAGTGCGAGTGCTAACTGCACTGCCGTGGGTGAGTGTCTGAAAGAAAAGACAGAGTTAGGAGGGGGTGGACCAAGGAAGGCAGCTGCGGGCACTCTCCACGCCCTTAATCCTGGTAATTATCACTTAAGTACCTACTATGTGCCAGGCATTTCACATGTTTTTTCTTTCTGATAGGTATGGCAGGTCTTTAGGTAGGCATTATTATTCCTATTTTAGATATTTGGAAAAACGATCTTTGAGAGAGGAAGTAATTTGGTCAAGATCCTATTGTTTCTCTTTCCCTTGAAGCAGTCAGTTTCCTTCATTTTTAGTGCCTAAGGTGGTGCCTGGCATATACCAGACAAATAGGTGAATAAAAATGTCCAGAAACTCTTGAGAAAGGACTGTGTTAGGCCACCAATTCTCCATCCCGTCCCTAACTTAGGGTAGCACCAGGGCCTGAACCCTGAACCCCCTCCATCCAGTCTGGCATCATAGAACCACCAGGCCCATGGCCTCACCATAGTCCAATTGCCCACTAAGAATTTGGTTCTGCGTATCACATCCCCAAAGCTAGGCACCTCATTCCTACCTCCAAGTGAGTGCAAGAATGCAGTTTGTAGGTTACGATGACCCAGAAGGTCTGTAGCAAAGGTGCCAAGGTGAAAGTCCCTACAAGGTTAGGAGGCAGAAACCACAGGTAATTGCTCTCTGTCCCGGGGTCTTGGGGAAGTTCAGTCAAGGCTATGTTCTCCAAGTGAAGTCTTCAAGTTTGTCCCTGAACAGATCTGATGGCCTGGTTGTGTTACTTCCTACCCAGGCAGTAGGTACTTGCAGAAGGCCAGACATACAGAGTACTGAAGAGGTGGACTGGAATGGACAAGAAAGGACTGAGCTGTCAGTCAGTGCCCCCACCAGCCACCAGCCTTCCCTGCATGTGGCAATGCAGTCCTGGGAAAGAGAGGGAAGGGAACACTGTGATGAGAGATGGGAGCCTCTCCTAGAGGGCCTGGGATCATATTTGGCCCTCATGCTTTTTACCTCTTCCTGGGGCGAGGTAAAGTGGAGACACAGGAGGAAACTAAGGATATGGAGCAACCTGCTGTATTCCTCCCACCTCAGTGATACAGTGATGCTTTGTGCTATGTGTACACTCTTTCAGACTTCCCAGCAGCCCTACAGGGTTGGTTATTAATACCCATTTTAGGGCTGGTCAGTTGGAACATGGTGCTGATAACACCAAGGTCAGCCACAGGGAAAAAAAACATGTTTACACTTGCACTTGAAGTGACTTGTCCAAAGTCATGCAGCCCGTAACCTGAGATTGAACCTAGGCCTGTGTGAATCCAGAGCCACTACAGAGAAAATTCCCACCTAATACCACCCCAACCCCAATATCACCTCTCTTGTCCCAGCTTCTGTGGTTCTCAGGGGAGAACCTTGGCTTTTTAATAAAACAAGCTTGACCGAAGGGGCAGTAGTAGTAACTAATTAGTTGTAGCTCCAAAGTTGCCCAACTTACCAGGATGAGTTTCCCATCACTTAGCTCCCGCACAAGTGTCGTCTCTTGCCCGTCCCACTTCTGCACATGGACAAGTTTGCCTCCATCCAGCGTCACAATGGACTGTAGAAAGAGAGCAGAGGCCTGAGCTGTGATGTGAGCCAGGAGGGGAGGGGCAGGATAGGGTCCAAACACTGGGGCCACAGAGGATACAGCCTCTGACCCAAACTAGTAATGGTGCTAGGACCAGAGCTCAGGCAACCCACCTCCAATCTCTGCTCTGCTTGGCTAGGGGAGGGGCCTTCAGGTATTATGCAAGTAGGGAGAGGGAGGCAGTATGGTGAAGCCAGACAGCGTGGTTCTGAGAAGCGCCATGAGCCTTCACGATCGGCACTTATCCTGTACTCTAGAGGTGATGCCCACAGCCCCGATTCGCTTCAGATATAGGGGGCAGTACCAGTCCATATCCCTGGGAAAGACTGAGTCCTGAGAATCTCTCCTCAGCCTTGTGGTTGTCACACATGTCTAAGAGACCCTTACTGATGGGAAGTATTGGCAAATTAGACTTCCCACCCTGTATTTCTACCCCTGTTCTTGGTCCATATCATGTGACAAGAGGGCAGCTGACAAGAGGACAGCAAGTACAACGTCCTAGGATTGGGTGCCCTTGAAGTGTTCCTCAGCCCTGGGTCAAATGTCCATTTAGTCTGTGTACTGCCAGCCTGCATCAGCTGGTTCACATTTGGCAGCTCTCCCTGGTCTCTCTTCTCTAGGAATTTGGGTGCTGTCGGCCAGGGTAAGAGGCCATGTCAGCAGGGTTCGGTAGGAGAGAGAAAGTGTGTGTGTGTGTGTTTTGGGGGGTGGGGAGTGGCCCTTATCTCTTGGTGTGCTGTCCTTATCACTTTACTCCTCATTCCCTCAGTTTTTTGCTCACTCAGAACTGTTCTGGGCCTAGGCATCCAGAGGACTACTGGTGTGTTTAATTGGGCTTCTTGCCCCTGGAGAGGGTAGACAAGTCCAAATAGGGGGCATCTGCTTTTACCCAAGGTAGGCTGCCGTCTTTGGGTACCATCCCCAACTCTGCTGCCAGTCTCCTGTGTGAACCTGGGCTGAGCTTCAGCTCCTTTTCCTCAGCAAGGAGACCAGAGACTCTCCCCTGTCCTTCCTGGGGGCCATTGTGAGCAAGAGGAAACAGCTGAGGAGCTGAATGATATGATGGAGAGGATACTGTTCTAGGGAAACCCTGTAGGGGTTAAAGCCCCTAAGTTCTCTCATTCCCATGCCTGGTCCATGTTGGGAGGCCTGAGGCAAGCTGCCAAGTCAGAGCCACTGCAGGGTGATAGCCCTGGGAGAGGGGGCTAAGGCTTGGCGGGAAGACACTGCAGAAACACCCATGACAATGTGAATGCCCCACCCATCTCAGAACAGCTTTTCCTGCCAGTCAGCTGGCAACATCAGAAATAGTTTGTCAGGGTCATTGGCCAAGCCTGGGAGTTGGAGGTTGAAGAAGAGGAAGCATCTGAATAGGTCTCAGCCTCTTGTTCCCAGCTGCCTCCTTTGCTGCTGGAGGCCAGGATGACCTCACTCAATGGAGAATCCTGACTTCTGGGCATCATTTCTAAAGCACTTCACGTCACAGCTATGACTATATAAGTTCTCCATCTACAGAAGAGGAAAGAAACCCAGAGCTATTGTTTGTTTGGTTTTGGGGGGACTAGCCAGTACTGGGATCAGAACCCTTGACCTTGGTGTTACAAGGCTGTGCTCTAACCAACTGAGCTAACTGGCCAGAAACCCAGAGCTATGGCATACCTTGCACAAGGTCACCTAGCTGAAACTGGAATAGATGCTGAGGTCAGAAGAACATCCTGGCTCTGTGCTGCCCCCTCCCCAAGGCAGCTCGCAGGTGCTTCCGAAGAAGGGAGGGAAGAAAACAAGGACAGAACTAACATGTATTTAGCACCTGGGGCATTCCAGCACTGCACAGGCTTTATGTACCTCGTTTCTTTTATATCTCTCATAATAGTCTGCCCCTCAGGGTGCAATATCAGGGAGCCAAGACTACCAGTCTATTCCCCTTTAGGGTCTCAGCACACTCCATTCCCCATCCCGCCTTCCCTGACTCACCTTAACCTTCCTGTCATCTGCTGTTGTCTCATCGAACTCCACCTCCAGCTTAAAGCTGATCTCGGTGCTCTTGAAGGTGCTCTGTGTTTTTATGGTGATAGTGTCCCCATTCTTTTCTATGATTGTGGTAGGCTTGGTCATGCTGGCCACCTGCCTGGTAGCAAAACCCACACCTAAGGGCAGGGGGAAGGTTATGAGTATAAGCTGGATTTGTGGAAAAGAGAAGACTATACCTTTGAAGGCCTCTGAATGTTTTTTTTTTTTTCTTTTAAAAGATGACCGATAAGGGGATCTTAACCCTTGACTTGGTTTCTTTTAAAAGATGACCGATAAGGGGATCTTAACCCTTGACTTGGTTTCTTTTAAAAGATGACCGATAAGGGGATCTTAACCCTTGACTTGG